AAATACAGTGATTAAATCAGGAGGTAATCCTCCTTCATTAGCACCATAGTATTAAGGAATCAATCATATATGGTTTAAGACATGCAAAAAAATTATATATTATTACTTATATAAATTATGGTGTTCATATTTCAAGACGAACTAATGACCCATACACAACATATTAATGGCGACGCCACGTCTTTTAAAGTCGAAACATATTCCACTGATCATCAGTAAAAATGGCTTTTATATGGCCAAGTTTAATGCCTGCAATTGGTCGTCATGGAAACCAATTTGAAATTCTGACCATTTGAAAATCTAGAAAAAATGGGAAAGTAAAGTGCGGGTGATCCATGTCATTTCCTTTTCATTGGTTCCACAGTTTCAGAGAAATATAAAATATAAAATCAACATAAAAATCACCGTTACCAAAGTCAATTGGTTGTAACATGCAAATAACATTACCTCATCAAAAGAATTGCATATTAATGGCCAATTTATCTGTTTGCAAATTCTTTGCTGTGGAAACCAAATTGACTTCGGTCGTACATTAAGAGTGGGAAAAGCTTGGATCTCCCATGCAAAGTTTCAGCCTTGTTGCTGCTGGTTAATGTGAGCATATGCGTCAGTATGCGAGTGAGTGAGGTGAGCTACAATAAACAATAACAAACTAGCCTTTATATTTCACACCATGTGGGGTGAGGTGTTGTGAATTAGGGTTTAACGTCGGGTTTAAGATTGTTGCACTTACATAGCGACACATGTATGCATGTTAGTGCGTGGCTGCTGGTACTAGTCCGGTCGATTTATAGTGCCCGTACACTGATATTCATGCCGAAGTTTAACATGAATATCCCACGCAGACATTGTAAACTGACTCCGAGTCGACCAGTCCTTGTTTTATCCCCTTAATGACGAGCGCCAGGCAGGGTAACAACAAGTACCATATGTTAACGTCGTTTGGAATGACGCTGCCAGGACCTGCTTGATAACTTCACTGGCTCTGTTTCTGATCATGGAGACACACTGCTTTGCTCAATGTACACTGCTTTGCTCAAAGTGTAATAATTAGCGCTTGAAGTTGTTGTTTAATTATTGAAAACTCTTAAAAGCTTAAAAGACCTTTCTCAGATCTGACAGTGTGTCAACTTCAGTTCAGTTCTACGACGTCACTCAACTAGTTGTTATTTTTAATGTAGTGTTCCTGACATAAAAAAAAGTTTCACCAAACCATCAAAATGAGTTGTTCCCTCGTATTTTTAAATTGAAATAAAGAAAACCTTTCAAAATGATCTGCTACTGAAAAACCAGAAAGCAGAATTTTAAGTTTATGATGCACATTCAGATTGGTTCCAGCTGTTGGCGTGACGTCTATTTTCTAATGAGAATAAATTCGTTTCTGAAAGGTCATATCCTCAGGACACCCTGATATAGCCTTTACATAGCAACACATGTATGCATGTGTGTGCGTGGCTGCTGGTACTAGTCCCGACTATTGCCGATTTATAGTGCTAGCACACTGAGATACATGCCGAAGTTTAACATGAATACCCCACGTAGACATAATAAACTGACTCCGAGTCCTTGTTTAATCTCCTTAATGCCGAGCGCCAGGCAGGGTAACAACAAGTACCATATGTTAACGTCGTTTGGTATGACGCTGCTAGGAATCCAATTCCGGACCTTCCGCTCTCCGGGCGAACGTTCTACCACAATACCACGGAGGCGCTCTTCACACCTAGTACAAATAGAAATATATGTACCTGACGAAATTCCAAACATATAAAACTGACATTTACTGCATGTATACAATAAAGGAAAATACGTAGAAAACTCATGAACATCTTTCCTGAAAATATAACCATGGATGCTGACACTGTTTATTGTTGGGGCGGTCGGGTAGCCTGGTGGTTAAAGCGTTCGCTCGTCACGCCGAAGTCCCGGGTTCGATTCCCGACATGGGTACAATGTGTGAAGCCCATTTCTGGTGTCCCCCGTCGTGATATTGCTGGAATATTGCTAAAAGCGGCGTAAAATCAAACACATTGTACCCATGTCGGGAATCGAACCCGGGTCTTCGGCGTGACGAGCGAACGCTTTAACCACTAGGCTACCCGACCGCCCCCTAGTGTACATGACTAACATCTTATCTTTGAACAGTGTATATGACAAATATCTTATCTTTGAACAGTGTGTATGACAAATATCTTATCTTTGAACAGTGTGTATGACAAATATCTTATCTTTGACCAGTGTATATGACTAACATCTCATCTTTGAACAGTGTATATGACTAACATCTTATCTTTGACCAGTGTATATGACAAAGATGGTATCTTTGAACAATGAATATGACAAAGATCTTATCTTTGACCAGTGTATATGACAAAGATCTTATCTTTGAACAATGTATATGACAAACATCTTATCTTTGACCAGTGTACATGACAAAAATCTTATCTTTGACCAGTGTATATGACAAATATCTTATCTTATCTTTGACCAGTGTGTATGACAAACATCTTATCCTTGAACAGGATATATGACAAATATCTTATCTTTGAACAGTGAATAAGACAAAGATGTTATCTTTGACCAGTGTATATGACAAACATCTTATCCTTGAACAGTGTATATGACAACTGTCTTATCTTTGAACAATGAATATAACAAAGATCTTATCTTTGACCAGTGTACATGACAAAGACGGTATCTTTGACCAGTGTATATGACAAATATCCTATCCTTGAACAGTGTATATGACAAATATCTTATCTTTGAACAATTAATATGACAAAGATCTTATCTTTGACCAGTGTGTATGACAAAGATCTTATCTTTGAACAATGTATATGACAAATATCTTATCTTTGAACAGTGTGTGTGACAAACATCTTATCTTTGAACAGGATATATGACAAAGATTGTATCTTTGATCAGTGAATAAGACAAATATCTTATCTTTGACCAGTGTGTATGACAAAGATCTTATCTTTGAACAATGTATATGACAAATATCTTATCTTTGAACAGTGTGTGTGACAAACATCTTATCTTTGAACAGGATATATGACAAAGATTGTATCTTTGAACAGTGAATAAGACAAATATCTTATCTTTGACCAGTGTGTATGACAAAGATCTTATCTTTGAACAATGTATATGACAAATATCTTATCTTTGAACAGTGTGTGTGACAAACATCTTATCTTTGAACAGGATATATGACAAAGATTGTATCTTTGAACAGTGAATAAGACAAATATCTTATCTTTGACCAGTGTGTATGACAAAGATCTTATCTTTGAACAATGTATATGACAAATATCTTATCTTTGAACAGTGTGTGTGACAAACATCTTATCTTTGAACAGGATATATGACAAAGATTGTATCTTTGAATAGTGTTTGTATCTATCAGAATAATTTTTTTATCAACTCCAAATAAGTGTCATATGCTTTTGAGTGTATGAAGACAGTGAGTGAGTGAGTTAGTGAGTATGGTTTTATGCCGCTTTTAGCAATATTCCAGCAATAACACGACACCAGAAATGGGCTTCACACATTGTACTCATGTTGGGAATCCAACCCGCAATCTGTTTCAGCGGATAATGGTTTTTCTCTGGTGTTGACGTTTTATATTTATAGATGGTCATACCTTTGTCAAGTAAGTGTGATATGCTGATCACTTATTTGATTAGGGTACCGCCATTTGTACGTTGCATTGAAAGAATAAGAAGGATGAAATCCAGACGTCATCCTTGTCCTCAATCAGTGTATAGCATGGACCCATCTATCTTAATCTGACGTAGTCCTGCTCCATTCAAAGGAATTCTTTGTGTTATACTAGACAGTGTTGTTATACCTGACATTCTTGTTATATATGACAGTCTTGTTGGACCTGACAGTCTTGTTATACCTGACAGTATTGTTATATCTGACAGACTTGTTATAACTGACAGTCTTGTTATACCTGACAGTCTGGTTATATCTGACAGTCTTGTTGGACCTGACAGTCTTGTTATACCGGACAGTCTTGTTATACCGGACAGTCTTGTTATACCGGACAGTCTTGTTATACCGGACAGTCTTGTTATACCTGACAGTCTGGTTATATCTGACAGTCTTGTTGGACCTGACAGTCTTGTTATACCTGACAGTCTTGTTATACCTGACAGTCTTAAGCTTGTTACATCTGACAGTCTTGTTATACCTGACAGTCTTGTTATACCTGACAGTCTTGTTACATCTGACAGTCTTGTTACATCTGACAGTCTTGTTACATCTGACAGTCTTGTTATACCTGACAGCCTTGTTATATCTGACAGTCTTGTTACATCTGACAATCTTGTTACATCTGACAGTCTTGTTACATCTGACAGTCTTGTTATACATGACAGTCTTGTTATACATGACAGTCATGTTGCATCTGACAGTCTTGTTATACCTGACAGTCTTGTTATACCTGACAGTCTTGTTATACCTGACAGTCTTAAGCTTGTTACATCTGACTGTCTTGTTATACCTGACAGTCTTGTTATACCTGACAGTCTTGTTACATCTGACTGTCTTGTTACATCTGACAGTCTTGTTACATCTGACAGTCTTGTTATACCTGACAGCCTTGTTATATCTGACAGTCTTGTTACATCTGACAGTCTTGTTACATCTGACAATCTTGTTACATCTGACAGTCTTGTTACATCTGACAGTCTTGTTACATCTGACAATCTTGTTATATCTGACAGTCTTGTTACATTTGACAGTCTTGTTACATCTGACAGTCTTGTTACATCTGACAATCTTGTTACATCTGACAGTCTTGTTACATCTGACAGTCTTGTTACATCTGACAGTCTTGTTACATCTGACAATCTTGTTACTTCTGACAGTCTTGTTACATCTGACAGTCTTGTTACATCTGACAATCTTGTTACATCTGACAGCCTTGTTACATCTGACAGCCTTGTTACATCTGACAGGTACATATTACACAGTCTCTATTTTGTATATTTCAGTTTGCAGCTTTCTTCAGTTTCACGTGGCAGTACGGCGAGTTTATGTGCAAGTCCGTCCACTACATACAGAACGTCTCCATGATCTGTTCAGTGTGGACCCTTACTACCATGAGCATAGAACGGTAGGTACTCTCTTACTACTATGAGCATAGAACGGTAGGTACTCTCTTACTACTATGAGCATAGAACGGTAGGTACTCTCTTACTACTATGAGCATAGAACGGTAGGTACTCTCTTACTACTATGAGCATAGAACGGTAGGTACTCTCTTACTACTATGAGCATAGAACGGCAGGTACTCTCTTACTACTATGAGCATAGCACGGTAGGGACTCTCTTACTACTATGAGCATAGAACGGTAGGTACTCTCTTACTACTATGAGCATAGCACGGTGGGGACTCTCTTACTACTATGAGCAAAGGGTGATAGGTACTGTTTTAACTGCCATGAACACGGAACGATAGATACTCATTTCACTACCAAGTGTAGTGGGGGCGGTGGGATAGCCTAGTGGTTAAAGCGTTCGATCGTCACGCCGAAGACCCGGGTTCGATTCTCCACATGGGTACAATGTGTGAAGTCCTATAGGCTATGATTGTGGGTTCGAACCCCGGTTCTCCCATAATATGTTTCTAGGTTGTCAGCACCATACCCATGCTCGTGGTTGTTACCAAAGAGATACACGTCTGAGACCTGCATCGCTACGGGCTTTCCTCCCACATTAAGCTGAAACGCCGTGAACTGGACTATTGTTAAAACCCAACTCACTCACTCATAATATTGATTCAGTTAAAATAAGAACAAAATCAGTACGGCTTGTTTCACAGGGTCACGCATCGTTTAACTACTATGATGTTTTGCATTTTTTTGCAAACATACCACAAAATACTTGATCTGCGTGTCTCTATGACATGGCATGGCGTGGCACTAGAATTCCTGTAATAAAATATTCGTATAAATAGTGAGATTAAATTACATACCTGTTTATTATCAAATTTAATACAAATTTGTTTAAATGATTAAATGAATGTTTTGTTTCTTTTCTTCTCTGTATTGTGTTCCAAGATCAATATGTTAACATAATATCAATACATTTACTCAAGTCGCCCGAGATTCCACAGCGATCCTTACTGGTATTGAGGCTTCAGGTTTTACAAATCACAGACTTCAAAGTGAATTTACAAATCCCTTGATCATCATTGGAATGTAACACATATGTCCCCCATCAGAGACTAGACTTTCTGAGCTGTGTGCTCGCGTCTTCAAGCACACTGCAAACTTTTAATAAAAAGGTTTTGCCGTAAGAAACGCCTTGAAAGAAATACTAGTATTTAAGCCTTGTGCAATTAGTTTTCATGTTTCCCATAATAGCTTCCGCAGTCTCATGTTTCCGTGTGTTCTGAGCTGAAAGAAGCTGTTGGTTTTATTTGCTCATCTTTTTCACACAACGCAGACGAGATGATTTGGAAAGACATGCAAACTGGTCATTTCCTGTCGGATCTCGTCTTTCCATAAACGAATCAAATTTCTTTGTTGACATTCATGTTGTTTCGTCAGCTTTGTATTTTGTTGTTGAAAATGGTCGGTGTGATGGCGGATTTGTTTCATATTGGATGTACAAGTTTGGCCGTTTGTACATACCGTTGCGATATTGGTAGTCAGTCTCCCAGACCCTAGAGAATTATTTTTTAAAAAGTGAGTGAGTGAGTATGGTTTTACGCCGCTTTTAGCAATATTCCAGCAATATCACGACGGGGGACACCAGAAATGGGCTTCACACAATGTACCCATGTCGGGAATCGAACCGGGGTCTTCGGCGTGACGAGCGAACGTTTTAAAAAAAAAGAGAAAAAAGAGAGTCCAAGTAAAGTCTAGCATGATTTAGTAAGTCTATATTGCCTCAGCTCTAGGAATTAGAGTTTGTTGTGGGTCAATTTGGATTTTTGGATTTTGTAGATGTATATTTTTAGATAAGATAACTTTATATCTGGTTCTATATGTCAGTCCATAATGTTGGGTGCGGTCTTTAACTCGTGAAATCCTCTCCCCCAGTGGAAGAAATGTTGCGAGTGAATACTGTCAACGTTAAGACAAGTCATCATCGGGATCTTCTGAACGCGTAAACCAAACTTGTGTACACTAAATTCTTGGAGTGAGTGAGTGAGTATGATTTAACGCCGCAATATTTAGCAATATTCCAACAATATCACGGCGGGGGACACCAGAAATGGGCTTCACACATTGTACCCATGTCGGGAATCGAACCCGGGTCTTCGGCGTGACGAGCGTACACTTAAACCACTAGGCTACCCCACCGCCCATAAATTCCTGGAGACTTGGAGCGTGAAGAATGACGTACGCTTCATCCATACTTCTTGTTTTGACTTGCTAGAATCTCTCATCCTAGTTTCTAATCCCATGTTCGCCCAGGCCATTGGCTTGTCAGCTTCTCCCCGGGCTCGTGGATTTCCCCCGTGTGGTAAACGTCTTCGCCCTGAATCACTTCGATCTGTCCTCCCACTTCAGATCGCCTCCGTGGTGTAACAGTAAAGCGTCTGCCCGGAGAGCGGAAGGTCACAGAAGTGTGTTCCCCGGCCGCGTCATACCAAAAGACGTTAAAAGATGGTACTTGTTGTTACCCTGCCTGTTGCTTGGCATTAAGGGGATAAAACAAGAACTGGTCGGCTCCGAGTCAGTATACTGTGTCTGAGTTGGGTATGTGTCTCATTGAATGCATTTCAAATTTAACATTTCATATTTACCTTTTGCTGTAAAATCACACTTTGACGGTTTCGAGTGGGAAGTGACTGGTCTTGTGCAGCAAACAGAAGGCCCCTGGCCCTATACAGCCTCAAACGTATCGAGGCCAACACATCTGATCTTGTCCTTTTTGATAAATCCAATGAAATCATTTATATCATTGAATTTTATGTCCCTTTTGACACTAATGTGATTGACAAGATTGAGGAAAAACATGGCAAATATGCGGACCTCGCTTTTGAAATGTCACGCTTGCATCCCAAGTACCAAGATGTCCGACTCCCCATTGTTCTCGGTTCCTAAGGTATGGTACCTCCCAATCTGTTGACTGACATTGGGAGAGTACCCGGGTTTGGTACCAGGAATACAGCCCTTCTGACAATCTGAGTAATGCAGAAGGCTGCAGTATTGTGGAGTCTTCACATTCTCCGAAAAGTTCTGGGTGGGTTTGACTAGGCAACGCTTCCTGGGAGAAGTCCCATTCGCGTGTAGAGGGGGCAAGGACCCTGAACTGATGATGAGCCTAACCAGCCTGACTGTGCCAGGATCACCCAAACCCTCTTTGCTGCATTTTTTATTTTAATCTGTAAATAATAATAAATCATCATCATCGTCATTAGTATTATCATCATCATCATCATTAGTAGTAGTAGTTATTCATGTATCGCCAAATACCCCACAATCAACTGTTCAGTAGCGCTTGGAAGGATCTTCAATAGAAATGAAACAGACTTGCCACGCTGCAGAGAAGGGTGGAGGAGCTGTCTTTGTACGTTTCAGTTTCCTTGTCTGTTTAATGACTGCCCGGGGTACCAATTACCAAACCCCCCAGACACATTCACACCATTTAAAACCCAAGTGAGGGACCTTTATCCAATCCCGCGTGTACTGGGTTTACTATCAGGAAATCATCACCAGCGGGCGCTAGGTTTAAGAGCAGCATGATCTGTGCATCGTGATGGAGTGGGCGCGCGTTGAACGCTGGGTTCCGATGAATTTGATTTACTGTTAACAGAACATGTTAGGCAGTAGTAACAGTGGTTATGGTCGAGTCTGGGATATAGAAAAACTCATTTATAATCATTTCATGACAAATCGTGTTTTCCACGCCTTATATTTCCAACAGTAAATTATCAGTATATTGCGACGTTGAATTGATGCGATGTTAGATTAAGGTTTTATTGTCCTAAACTATGGTCGTCTAGGAGTTTGAGTTATGGTTCAACCCCCATGATCGGCGTCAACCACGGCATTATGCAACAGCAAACTTGTCGGCGTCGAGGTCGCAATCAAAGTGACATTTGATGACACTGTAGGATTATATGTGTGGAGACTCTAGGGACGTTTTCAATTGATTCAGCTTTATTTGATTCATAACTCTTCATCCATAGCACATCCCCGTGAGCTTAGCAATGTGTGAACTCTAAACGTTTTTTGTAAGACGAGCACTAAAAAATAGCGACCAAACAAAAATCCATAATCATAGGAAATCTCTGCTAAAAGCAGAGTCCATGGTACGATCCTGACTGTATCATGAGCATGTGTTTGTGAATCATTATCAAATAGTGAGAAAAGGTGAGCGTATCCTGCCCCACCGGTGGCACCCGTCATAAACACATGCAAAGGCACGTGAATTGATCACATGAATCCAACACGGTTTCAACTCAACATAGGGAAGTGCATCGAACACCATTTTTTGTCACTGATGCGTCAAATTGGGAATTGTCCTCCATCATCATTATCAAATAGTGATGATACTGGTGTTCGCGAAAAGGTGAGCGTATCCTGTCCCACCGGTGGCACCCGTCACAAACACATGCAAGACAAGTCAACTGTTCACCTGGACAAATACGTCAAAATAGGGAATTGCATCGGACATCAGTTTTGGCACTGAAGCGTCAACTTTGGAAATGTCCTCCACACGTCTACCATTAAACGTTTTGAAAACTTTACTGAGGCCTTGAACGTTGTAGCCCTGATCAAACAACGTTTGAGCGGTATGGGGCTCACAGGATGTCGACGTCATGTGCATGTAATACCATAAAACATTTTGAAAACATTTTGAAAACATTACTACGAGTATGACCTTCAATGCTCTAACCCTCGATAAGAAACTTTTGATCAAGAGTCGTATGACGCCCTTTTGAAGTCTTTAAAGAGCATGCTCGAATGTACCTCAAAAGTTGTGAATGTAGACACCAAAAGGCTTGAGCTGCTGGAATATTTCTTAACAGAAAATCAAATGGCTGTGTTTGAGAGTAGTTGTTCTTTCGCGTTCACTGCGCGTAATTGTACAATAAAAGCAATAATAATAATAAAAACAGGCAATATGTGTTCAGTTTAGAACATACTAATATGT